CCTAGTCCTACCTGCTCGCACTGGGAGGGGAGCTGTAGCATTTATAAATGCCTCAATGCTCCTGCCCAGGCAGGTGGAAGCTGCTACTGGCGGTAACCAGTGGTAACCCCCGAAATGGGGTGTTTCAGGGCAGTGAAGGGTCTGTGCTGAGCCAGCACAGGATCTGCTGGATCCTGAGCCAGGCTTGCTGCTGTCACATGATGGTACAGGGCATGATCCAAGCTTCTTTGCCGCCCGGGCTGGTGCAGCAAATAGATTTCCCCCCAACCCTCCTTTCCATTCTGACTGGTGTGAGTAGCAGGGCTCTGGTTACACTGCTGCATTAAGCCCCACTTCAATCTAGATTGAAAGCAGCAAGTTGAAGCTGAGCATAAATGATTCTGGGTTGAGGAGAACTGCATTTTTGTGCTATATAAACAGGTTATTGTGTGTGCAGCCTTATGGATAAGGGAGGTTCTTGTGTGACTGACTTTTAATTCAAACCTTGCCTTGGCATCTGTTTAGCTTGGAGCTGAGTTAGGAGCTCAGGCTGTCAGTCATCTAGAAGAAATCAGCGATGAAGGTATCTCTGCAATGGCCCAGGCGAAGTGTGCAGCTGTCCTGTTACCAACCACTGCCTATATACTGAGGTAATCATAGTTCTAATATACATTGCTGGGCTGTATTTTACTGTCATTTGCTATGCCTTTGGGAAAATATGTATTATCTTTTGAAAGAATGCATCCAGTGAACAACTGCTGTTAAGAGTGATCTTCCAAGGATGCAAAAAGTTGCCGGTCTTTTAGTAGAGCCTGATGGAATAGCTGCTTATAAGTGACAATTTAGTTGAAAGCCTAATGGAGCTGGTCTCTTAACAGAGCCAATGGAGAAACCTAGAGTCTCATCTCTCTCTTTTCATATCTCCCTCTCCTGAATTCTGAAAGAATCCTATAATATTGCTGAAGTGGCTTTACATTGAAGCTTCATTTTACATTGCAATTCAAATGGTAGTAACCATTGGGTTTTTTTTACTTTGCAGATTAAAGCAGCCTCAAGCTAGAAAAATGTTAAAAGAAGGAGTGATTGTCGCTCTTGGCAGTGATTTTAACCCAAATGCTTATTGCTGTTCCATGGTAAGATGTTTCTTTAGAGCAGATGCAAAATTAATGTTAGTTTTATTCTGTCAGTTTGAGCATCAGGCTTGGCGTATTGATTATTGCCTTGATTCCTTGGGAATCTCATTTAATTTTCTGTACTAGCAGGACAGTTGAGTAGACCACGTGAATTTAAATACACACACTATTGAATTCACACATGAACTCTAGCCATTGAAAAGCAGCTTTTGCTTGGAGCAGATTGTTATCAAGCAGGAGATTGGCTTTCAGCACAGATAAGCCCTGTCTTTCTTGCAGACATGAGCCCTATTCAGGCATGAGCTACGGACAGCATAAACAAGCGTACTCATTCCACACAGACATATGCATCACCTTTCCATTCTTTTGTCAACTTGTAGAGGGCAACTGTCTGCAGCAGAGGTCTTCTGTGCTTGTGGAGTCTCCCCACTCATTTTTAAAACCTTGGGGGAATCAGGATTCTCAAAAGTCCATGGAGTTTGATCTCCAGATCACAGAAGGCAACAGGGCGCTAGTGAGTTTGTTTCCACAGCCCCACCTGCAGTTAGAACAGCTGAAGAGTGTTACAGTTAAATTAATTATACCTGTCACAGTGAACTCAGGCTTTCAGATGGCATGGCAATGGCTGTCAGACTGTTGGTTTCTGTGCACCTATGTGTAACTTCAAGCTTAACTACCTCTCTCTTACTAGCTCATGGTTATGCACCTGGCCTGTGTAAATATGAAGATGTCCATGAAAGAGGCTTTAGCTGCTGCCACCATCAATGCAGCTTATGCTCTTGGGAAATCGCACATGCATGGCTCCATAGAAACTGGCAAGCAAGGAGACCTCATTATCATCAATTCACCAAGGTGAGGATGCAAATAGCTCTTAAAGGCCTAATGCTCTGCTTAAGTTGGAATGAAAATCTAACATTCGGAATAAATTAAATGCATTATGATGAGCAATAATTACTCAATCCAAGTGCAGTATTTGAGTCGTCTCCCAATACAGAACATATTGACCAGACATAAAGGGAAACCTTAATCCTTTTAAAAAAGTCATACTTTTATATGCTTTTTAACCCCCAGTTCAGACTTTTTTCAGTCTGTCTTACAGCCTTGTCAGTTGAAAGTTGTTCTTTAAAAATAAACATTGAATTGTTCAGGAAATAATTTTCTGGCACCGTGCCAGAGCCCAAATTTCATATCATATATTGTTGTGAACTAAACATACCATCAGTTTTTGTTATTTATTTAAACTGATCTATATTTTCCAAGTGGGGATGCGGGTGGCGCTGTGGGTTAAAGCCTCAGCGCCTAGGACTTGCCAATCGAAAGGTCGGCGGTTCGAATCCCCACGGTGGGGTGCGCTCCCGTCGTTCGGTCCCAGCGCCTGCCAACCTAGCAGTTCGAAAGCACCTTTGGGTGCAAGTAGATAAATAGGGACCGCTTACCAGCGGGAAGGTAAACGGCGTTCCGTGTGCTGCACTGGCTCGCCAGATGCAGCTTGTCACGCTGGCCACGTGACCCAGAAGTGTCTGCGGACAGCGCTGGCTCCCGGCCTATAGAGTGAGATGAGCGCACAACCCTAGAGTCTGTCAAGACTGGCCCGTACGGGCAGGGGTATCTTTACCTTTACCTATATTTTCCAAGTATATTTTAATGCTGATACGCTTGTCAATTTTATATTAATTTGTGTTAATTGTGCTTTTTTATATACCATGAGCCACCTTGAGTGGGCTGTGCCCCCAAAAAGCAGCATATAAATAAATGACTACAAACATTCACAATGTCTTTTCAAAACAGGCATATGAATTGCTAGCAATTGACTCCTGCTTTCTATTAATCACTCAACATGTTATGTTAAAACTATATGCTTTAAAACAGTCCTCCTGCCACATTCCTGATGTCGAAGGTGAGGTTACGTATGGGGCAGTTACAAAAGAACCACCAGGAGCTTAATGTGAGCTCCCAATTATTCTTTCTGCAAGCTTGGCTCCCTGTTAGTGCTGATGATCACTGCCATGTAACGCTTGTGGAGAACTCTATAGTGTAGCTGACGGACTTACTATCTCAATTTAGAAGAAACTGTTTTGATTCAAACTGCTTCCTCCAAATACAGCATTTCTTCCACTGCAGAGGTAAAATTGCTTTGTTTGGAGGAAGTAGTTGGAACCCAAACTGACTTCAAAGGGGCTTCCTGTAACTGCCAATCAACAGTTACAGTGACTGAGCTCCCTTGAACTTCTGCATGTGTCAATCACCTGATGTCATTATGCTTCCTGGTGATTGTCTAGTGAGCAGTCCCACCCACCTGTCAAAGTTTGCCTATGGGGAGTGAGGAACTAAGGATCCATCCCACTAGCTAGATCCAGTTCCCTACCCCTGCTATAAGAGATACTACTGCATTTCAGTTTTAAGTTATCAAGTTTAATGGATAATAGCATATAGCTCTGCTATATGAAACAACAAAGATCCCTATTGTGCACCTAGGGACAAATGGGCAAGGAGGCTTGTTTGACACTATTCTGCCTGCATTCTTTATTTACTTGGAACATGCAGCTTATCTATCATGCTTTCTATTTTAGTCCTATGCACATGAGAGATTGTTGGTTTTTTTCTAAAATATGATTGTAACCTTTTAAAAATCTTTAGATGGGAACACTTGATTTACCAGTTTGGCGGCCATCAAGAATTGGTTGAATACGTAATTGTTAAAGGAAAAGTTGTTTATAAAAACGAGAGTGTTCTGGGCTACTGAGGAATTCCAGAAGGAAGAAATACAGCACTTGCCAGACTCTCTGAAGCAAACACAGGATGATAATCAGCAGGGTCTCACATCTTTAAGATCATACTTCCTTACCGGTCAAAGCTAAGAAATTCACTGGTTTTTATTTTAGTTCTTCCTTTGTATTCGCATGAGGAACACTAAGCCATGTTCATCTGCTTGGTAGTTTCATGGTCCGCTAGAAAATAAACCTACATGTATGCAAACCATTAACTCTGGTTTTTTTCCATTAATGAAGGTCCTCTTGTATAAAGAAATCAAAGCTCTGCATTGCAATGTGCCTACATACACCTCATAATTTTTCACAACCAGAGTTAAGAACATGAGAAGAGTTCTGCTGCATCTAGTCCAGTGTCCTGTTCTCACAGTGGTCAGGTAGGTGCCTTTGGGAAGCCCACAAGCAGGCCCCAATGACTGCAGGGAGTTCACAGATAACATTTATGCAGTGGGTTGGACTTGAATAACTACCCAGCTACTTCCATCTACCCAAGGTGGTTTGTGAACATGTGTTTCCTTTGAGTAACAACCTCCCCTCCACAACATGATATGTCGTTTATAGAGATGACTTCACAAAGCAAGATTTATATGGCCCAGGAATCAGCACATTGGCTTTTTAATTTTTTTTGTAAGAGACCAAAGCTGGTATGTTATAGTCATCCATCTCTGACTAGGTTCTGGAAGGCCAGGGTTTAAATCCTTACTTGGCCATGAAGTTCACTGGGTGACCTTGGGCCAGTCACCGACTCCCAGCCTAACTTGCCTCACAGACTTGTTATGGGGATTAACTGTGGGGAGAAACCGTGTATCCCACCTTGTGCCCCTTGGAGAAAAAGGTGAGCTATAAATGCAATAAGGAGAGGAGGAGTCTCTGTAAAGATTGCAACATTAGATTTATTGTTCTTATAAATTAAAAAAAAAGCTAGCTAATTTTAGTTGGCTAAATTATAGTTTGATGTTAGTGTAGTTAACTTAACTCACAAAATGAGTCACATCTGCACAAGTTTTGTCGCATCCACCCATTTGCTACAGATAAATTTAACATTCACCTTGTTTTTGTACAAAGTTCAGCCATTGTGAAATCATTCAAACTGATACGGCACTTTCCCAATGCCCACAAATATTTTCAGCTTTGGAATCTTTTATTTATTTTTTGGCCTTTGGCATAAAGTACAGAATACGGGAGTTATTAAAAACACACAGATTTTGCTATCAACTGAAGTACTGGGGTTCATTTCTGATAGCATTTACTCTTAATCAAATTCTTCTGAGTCGCTATGATGATGTTGGTGGCGACAGCGTGAGGCATTTTCACTTGCTGCTAATGAAAAGGCAGTAGGGGAGATTGGCCTGGACTCAGGAAGGTGCTCCCTTCTGTATTTTTCAATGTATGGTTCAGCTACTTCCCAAACCTACAGGTAGGAAGAGAGAGAGAAAGTAGTGTCAGAAGCAAAAGGCAAAGACTTAGATTTTGGACCAAAATATTGGCAGGCAACATTTCTCATACATGATCCTAATCATATACTTAAAAACCATTGGTGCAAGTTAGCAAAAAACCTACTTTCAGTAGAAATATACAGTGCAAACATCTGGACAATGTAGGCCCTGTGGGCATGCCCAGATGGTGGTTTCTGAAGAGGACTGATGTGTGTCCAATGTACATTGCCTCCACACTCCATTCCATCACTCTCTACAAGGACACACAAGACTGGCTCTATAAGGGAGGGAGGGGAAGAGGGAGCTGCATTTTATGGTGGGCCCACTTTAGTAAACAAATGCCAAACACAGCACAGGAGGCTGCTATCATTTCCACCCACCCCCTTCTCAGATGCTGGAACTAATACTTGAGAAAAATATATCCAGAGGCTGTGCCTGGCCTTAGAAGACTGTCAGGGACTCAGATATGCTGAGGGATGGCTTTGTAATATGTATACTAGCCAGATGGGCACATGCAACATGTTCTTTTTGAACAATAAAACACACTCGACACAGAATGATCAAAAACAAGATTCTCATTTCTTTATTATGAACTTCCTGTCAGAAGCTCAAGCCTCCTGCAGACATGCATGTTAATTCAGCTGTGGATTCCATGTGGTCTATGGCCAGACATACAGAATATGACTTGTCATTTGTAACACAACTGTCCAGGCTTCTAGTCCACTAAGAAGCACAATTTGAAGTGTTGGCTTTGACCTCTAAAGCCCTTTGTGTCTTAGGGCTCTTTGCTCCCACATGAACCTGCCCAGATGTTAAACTTCCTAAGAGGTCCTTCTTTGAGTCCCTTTGCCATCATCAGTGAGATTGGGGGTGACCTTTGACTGGTCCTTTTTAATCACCTCTGCCTCCCACCCTGCTCTGTTTTTGGAAGATTCTCCCCAATCACCTGAATCCAAACTTTGTTATTTTTGTTGCCAGGTGAAGACCTTTTATTCTTCCAGGCTTTTTAGATGCTGTTTTAATCTGACCTGGCTCTGGTCTTAATATTTGGCTTTATTGTTCTGCTAATTATTTATTGTATTGTGTATTTATTGCATGCTTTCAATTTCTTTGATTGTGAGCTGCTTTGATTAGTGGGAAAGAAATATTTGGAATAAATAAACATGGTTCGCCTGCCCAGCTACAATCCGTCTTTCACTTTATGATAAGCATGATTTACTTCTCTAACCCCAATCACTCAAATGTTTGGTGGTAGACTTGTGGTGCTGAACAAGTGTCAAAGATATGGTTTCCTCCAACCAGTTTTTCTAGATAGCAAATTAAGTCTGCTTGGTACAAGATTGTTTTCCTTCCTCATAGAATGTCGGAATAAATCATAAGCATGAGGGCACATATTATGCAGCAAGTAGCTAAACACACAGAGGAACTTTTAAAAATCATGGAGTCTCCTCATCAGACTCCATTAGCTGCCAATATCAACACTTGCCTTCTGATCCACAAGCAGTCTGTGAGCTGCCTCAATGTCTGGGGCCATGAAGCGATCTTTCATCCAAGGCCTGAAAGGAGACAAATTGAACAACTTCTAAATCTGCTAGTAGTGGTGGTAAGTGGTTAATGTTTGGCCAATGTTCTCAGAAGTTACCGTCTCTGGGCAAGTGTTTGTTTGACATACCTGACAACAGAGCGCACAAGGTCATAGACTTTTTCCAATGGGGTCGTAGTTCTCAGGGGGCGTAGAAACTCAATGCCCTGGCATGCCGCAAGGAGTTCTACAGCCAATACTAGTAAACAAAAACAACATAAAACACCATGGCAAATTCTGGTCATTTTTAAAACATTCGATGTAAACAGATGAGGATGAGATCTTAGGACTAGTGCTCACCATCAAATGGGCACATTGTTACTATGGGTTGACTGGATATATGAAATGCAGAATCTTATATCTGAAATGGTTCTATGAATTTAGACGCAAGTAAAAGACTAAAGAAACTTAAATCTACTTTCCTATGGAGTGTGTTAATATTGTGGCACTCTGTGCAGATATATATGCACATTTGAATGAATTATACACACATAAAACCCATAAGCATGATATGAAAAGCATGCAAAGATTCTAGAACAGTTTTACTGAGTCAGGACTCGAAGCCTTGGAAAGAGGAATTGTGATGCCAAGGTGGAGGTGAGGTTCTGCATCAAAGGCAGAAGAATTAACTTCTCCCTGTGGCTTGGATTTCCTAAGTTCAGAAGTCAGATTAGTTTGCCTTACTGCCACAGGGACCTAGGACTCGTCTGTCCATTCCCAACAGCAAGGGCTGGTGGATTGGCTGGCTGGGCTCCCTCGCCTGCCTGCCTGCCTGCCTGCCTGCTTGCTTGCTTGCTTACTTTGAGGCCGCCTCAGCTCCTGGCAACCTGGCCAGCCCCAGAGGCACCATTCACCTGCAGAGCTTGTAGCCAGGGCTGCTGCAACAAAGAGCTGGGCAAGCCTTTGGGAGACAGAGATGCAAGAGAGCATCAAAGGAAGGAGGGAAGGAAAGAGGGACAGAGGCCCGTGTTGCCCACGGCACCCTAGGGTGCCACAACACACTGATTGAAAACCACTGATCTATGCAATGAAGCACAGTGAACCAGGATCACTTCTTACAGTGTCAGTCTAAGAAACTGTGTTGCCTGAGTTGAAGTCCAAATGCCCCAAATCCACTAGAGCCCCACACTTAAAAATACATGTAGCAGCACTGACACCAATTTCTGCGTTCATCTACCTTTCCCTCAAGAAGCCAACCGAGGGAGGCTGCTCCACTCTCTTGTACTGCAGGGCCTTTCCTGATCTCTTAAATAGTTTTGGGGTCTGCATTAAGTCTCTTGCCATTCTGACCCTAAACACTTTGGCATGAAATAATGCAGGCAATTCTTAGTATTATGTCTTGTTATTGACAATCCACAGCAGTTCCTCTGTAACATTTTCTGAAATTATTTGTTCTTTATAATTTATATTTGTTGCTACTTATTATCATCTTCATCTCATTTCTACAGTGTTTTTTTTTATAAACTGCAATATATATATTTATGTATAAGTGTGAAATCCAGTCAAATGTATTTTTAAAATGCAAGCAATTCCGATCGATTTCCATGAAGCTTACATCCAAGTCAGTGTGCTTAAGGTGGTATGAAACACTGGTCACATCCACACTATACATTTAAAACATATTTAAAGCACATGGCTTCTCCCAAACAATCCTGGGAACTGTAGTTTATCTGTCACAGAGCTACAATTCCTAGCACCCTTAACAAACCGCAGTTCCCAGGATTCCTTGAGGGAAGCTCTATGCTTTGTGTGTGTGGCGTAGATGTGACCACAGTTAATATCCAGTTGTGCCTATGACTATACCTTGTTCAACGTGCTCAATGACTTTGAGTGCTTTTCTCGCAGCCCATCCTCCCATGGACACGTGGTCCTCCGTAGCGGCACTGGTCGAAAGAGTATCCACAGAAGACGGGTGGCACAAGGCTTTGTTTTCGGAAACTGCAAAAGTCCAGTTTGAATAAAGGGTAGCCTCTGAGGCAAACCACCATGTAAAGCAATGGTTGTCAATCTGGTCCCTACCGCCCACTAGTGGGCGCTTCAGGATTCTAGGTGGGCGGTAGGGGGTTCTACGGCACAAGCTGAATCCTCCTTCCATCGAGCACTGGTGGGCGGTAAGGAAATTTTACTATCAAGAAAGATGCATTAGTGGGTGGTATGTATAAAAAGGTTGACTACCCCGGATGTAAACAATGCCCCACTTTGAGCAGCCGTCAGTGAGGGAAACGAGGATCCCTGAAACGCTTTTGTAACAGTACTCTGTGCAGATCAGCAGTGTAATATCAATATATAGCATCCATAAACCTTCTTTCCCCCCAATGTAGAGGACACTCCAAAAGTGCTCACACTGCCAAGGAGGAAGACAACAGGGGAGGAACACAAACACAAGCCCTGTATTTGTGCTTCCCATAAGCATCTGCCTGGATCAGATGAGCTTCTGGGTCTGACCTAACAGGGTTCTTTTTACATGTTCAAAGCTTCCTATACATTATCTCAGCAATGTTTATCACAGTAATGCTGACAGCAGCCCTGCAAGGTATCCTTGTGCTGCCAATGGGAGAGAAGCCAAGACCATGAATTAGAGAATAAATGGGCAGAGAAGAGATTTAAACCAGAGACTTGGGCCATGTACACATTACTGTTAACTCTGGCTGCAGTGTGCTCCCTCCACTAAATTTTGAACCTGCCTACTCAGGACATTAGGGAATATCTAGAGCTATCCTGTAGTTTCTTGTAACGTACTGGTTGCATGTGATTTATTTAAATGCCTTGACATTCTAGAAATGGCCTAGCTATTCCAGCAGTTGAACTCATGCTGGATCTAGGAATTAGGAAACACACCCCAAGTGTAATGGTCATGTGTACATAGCCCAAGACTCAAATACCTGAGAGGGAAATGCAAGAAGACTGGTCAGAGCAGCAGATTAACTCTGGGATATTGAGAGGTCCATGTATTCAATCCCTCTGGCAGCCCCTTCAGCCATTTTGTACTCACCCAAGGATGCTGCTGTGCAGTGTGCAATCATGAATCCAGAGTTCAGACCTCCTTCTGTGACTAAAAATGGCGGCAACTCACTGAGGGATGGGTTGCAGAGCCGTTCGATCCTCCTTTCGCTAATCGCAGCAAGTTCATGGACCCCAATTGCAAGATAGTCCAGAGCCTGAAAGATATATATTGGTTTTTAGTGATGGTTTTTAAAGCCCTAAATTGTAAAAAGTAAAAAAAAAAAGGGGGGGGAATGTTGTTAACTACCTTGGCAGGGTATTCACCATGGAAATTTCCTCCAGAAATTGTCTCCTTTCTCTCAGCAAAAACCATCTTAAGGAACACATTAAGGCTTCAGCAGTAGTGAGGTTGGCCATAGCAAAGCCCAAGTTATTCATTTATTATTGAATTTGTTAGAATTATTTCTATTCTACTTTTCCTTTACAAAAAAGGCACATGTTTAAACATGTTTTTAAACCAATAATGTATGATAAGGAATATATATATTTCCAGAGGGTCAACAAAATACTTTATTTTTCATCTGGACTACCAAACTACAAGGTGTTCATATAGGACAGTGGAAGACCAGAGAGGGAGTTGATATAAGCCTCTTGAGGCAGGGAGTTCCAAAGGCTAGGTGTGGATGCACACTCTCCTACATTCCTGCCAATCACACTCCAATACTAATAGGTTATAGAGAAGATCTCTCAGTAGATCATAATGAGCAAATACGCTCATATGGGAAGAGATGGTCCTTAAGGTATCCTTGTCCTAAGCTACAGGTGGGTAGCCCATGTATCTGAAGAAGTGTGCATGCACATGAAAGCTCATACCAATAACAAACTTAGTTGGTTTCTAAGGTGCTAGTGGAAGTCATTTTTTTATTTTGTTTGTCCTAAGCTGTTTAGGTTAGGGCTTTAAAGATGATAGGCTTCAGGTAAGTTAAGAATGATACGCTTTAAAACTTACGACCTAAATGCACAAGTATGCAGGATCACTTTTGTCTGACAGCTCCTACAGAAACAATGAAAGCCACAGGCCCATGTGGAACGGTGTGAAACATACACTTGACTCAGGCTGCAGAATTATGCAAAAAAGATACAGGATTGTCTGTTGCGCTGTTGAGTTCTGTGGTGATTATGTCCTTGACAAATGCTATCGTGTCATTCGCAACGCCATGAACCTAAAATAAATTTCAGATATTAGCCACATATCCTGCATCTTCGTAAATTACTGTTTTAAATACAGACCTAGATTTATTTCTGTCCTGCTCCTGGGACCTCCAAGCTTTGCCTTCCATGGTTCTAACTTTTGTTAACAAGAATAGAATTCAGCTCACTGACAGATTTGAACCATTTTCTTTACATGTGATAATTGAGTTCCTGGCTACATGTGTCAGAACCAAGTTTACGTTCAGCTTTACCTGAGGGCAGCAACGCAGTGTGTATGCATCTTGTACTCTATCACAAAATCGATGAGATTCTGCAACACAGCAAAATGAAAACGTATTATTTTAAAGAAGAAGCAAACATAGCAAGGTTTCTATTTTAATACTAAACCTCTCTAGCACCAAGTCAAAATATGAGATTTGCCCTGGAGTATCACATGTTTGGATTTATGTGAAACGTTACGATCTGCTTCCACTTTTGTAGCTTATTGTGTATTCTGTTTTAAACGTTTTACAAGAAGATATAAAAAAGAAAATGAAATGAGATTTGCATATTGTCAGGATGAAGTCTGACAGCTGGATATATTTAATGAACAATTTCATTTTTTAAATATTTGGGACATTTTAGCAAGAAATGGGGGAGCAAAGTTCAAGGAAGGGCTTTCTGGTGACTGGACCAGTGCTGAAAACTATGTGGATGGGGCTGAAACAATTACCCAGCTGAAGAAGAGACATTCCTTTGGATTCTTGGCCTTTAGCAAATTATATCCAGGACTTAATTATTTTTTCTTACATACTTTTGAGGGCTAGATACAGCATTTTAAAAATAAACCGAGATGAAATTATCAGATTGTTCCAGCTTCTTTTCTAAGCAAATATGCCAAGTATGTATCACCCAAAATGGCCATTCACCTGCTATTTCAGAGGGATGGTGATCAGAATCTAAAAGTGACCTGAATCGAAAAGCCACCTCTATCTGCCCTCGATGTGGTCGCAGTGCATGAATATCTGTTTTAAAATAAAGATAGAGAGTTACAGCACAACACTAATCCCCTCTCTTCAAATTAAGGACAGTTTTGCAAGCAACACTTGGACAGGTATATTAAGCCTGGGACTATAGTTACGTGAAATCTGCAGCAAATGCTACAGTGTGGAGTGATTCCGGCCAGGATTCTAGCCAGCCATGCCCTTTCCAGTATATTCCATTCCATTTGCCTCTCAGCCTATATCAGCAACATTCAGTGACACTGAGCATGCTCAGTCTCTCTCGCTTACATTGTTTTGGATGGTTCTACAAACTTTGTGGTTCTCCTAAGCCTACTGGTCCCTGGCTATTATGTGTGGATGGCACCATTTTGGCTACTTAAGAATCCACACTTGGAGACTGAGATGTTGGAGCTTAGTATATATGAGCGGGCTTTAAAGCAGTATAGATCACTTAAACCGTTTTCCATAGGGCGTTAGCAGACACTAAAAGCAATGACGTTGGTAGTTCCTACGGTCACAATTCTGCTGGCACCGTGAAGATCAGAATCACATCATCACAGAAATGTGGGAGAAGCAACAAAGCAAATACCCAAAGCCCCAGATTTAAGTATGTTCTGTAAAAGGGACCTAGCAGCCTTAGAAAATGCAATACCAACCAGTATCAAAGGCTCTTGTTGTGCCCTTCAAAACTTCTAGTGTGAGGGCAGCCACTATGTCAGCTTGTCTAGCAATTGCACTGGCCCTTTCAACTGCTTCACATCCTAGAGAAGTAATCATTTGCGTCCCGTTTATAAGAGCCAGGCCCTTCAAAGAAACAGAAAGCATTAATTTTCAGAGACTCTCTCTGTATAAAGACACATGCGTTTCCCCCCTCTCCCCTCACAAGCAACGGCTGGGGGGAAATAGGGGCATTCCAGGATCAAATGAGAAGCTGGGATTGCTTTTGTAATTCTGGCACAGTCCCTGGAAAATAGGGACATTTGGAGTTTATGAACTTGACATCCGTTGCTCTGGCCTCACCCACAATTGTCGCCACTGGAGTGAAAAAGATTATCCCGACTTAAAGCCGCTTCACCGTAAAAGTGCCTTCTAGGGAACAGTGCAAATTAGAAATGCTCCCTTCGCCATTACGATACCCGTCAAGGCATCCCGATTTGACTGGGACATCCCGGAATTATAGAAGCCGCCCCAGCTTCTGATTAGATCCCATAATGTCCTGATTTTGGTGCTGCTCTCTCTTGAGAGTCAGCTGGCTCCCACGAGAGTTTGACACTGAAGGATTCACATCTTTCACGCGAAAGGAGGCGACTGAGCTGGAGCCCGGGGGGCGGGGGGAGAGGGAGCTGCTGGTGGCGCAGGCCAGGCCACCACCACTGATGGAGGAGAAGACAAAGACAGGGATGGCAATGGGGAGGGGGAGGAGCCACTTTGGGGCTCGCTGAAGGAGCTGCTGCTGGTAAAGGAGACAGGGGGCTGGGGCGGGGGAACCCCAGCCGGCTCGCATGTGCGTTTGGCACTAAAAAATGTGCACCCCAATTTTAATCAGCAGAATATTGGAGGGTACGTATGACATGGTCTAGCTACATAGTACATGCTTCCGCCTACTGGACCACTGCTGAGATTCTATGCATTTTATTACCTCTTTGGGCTTCAGTGTAATTGGTTTCAGTCCATGAGCTTCCAGCACCTGTAAAACAGTATCAGTAACAAACTTATTGGGCTCATCTTTTGTTACCCCATAAATATTTTTAATTACTCTACTGAGAAGGAAGATGACCGAGCAGAATTGAAGAAGTGGCTTCAAGGATGTTTCGACACCCATAATTTAAAAAAAACTAATGGTTTAAATTAGTAGTAGTTTCAGTTCCATACATGGAGTCCCACTTCTGCATTCTTTTAACATGCCCTTTCAGGCTCATGTAGTTCCTCTAGTTTGCACCGGAAACAACATATTCGTTTTAGGAAGCCTCTCCCTATATCGCCTTATCAGCATAAAAATAAATTAAAAACATGACCCCGTGTTTCCTTCTGAGCTGCAATTCTGTGCATGCTCACTTGGCAGTGAGTCCCAGTAAAATCAGTGGGACATGCTTATAAGGAAACATTATCACAGTTGCTGTCAGAATTCATTTATGTTCATCATTTGAAACCATTTGAAGTTAACAGACCCTTTGCTGGCAGAACATTTCGGCTTCAGAAAAGTTCTGGCATTTGCATGCTATCCTTTGCTTTGTCTATGGGTTACGACATCTATATTAAAAACCATGGTAGACATTGTGCAGGATCATTTGCTCGTGCTACCAGAAAATCATGAGCAGCACTCAGTCACTGTCACTGAACAACAGAAGGGCACCTTGCCACTCCCATCGTGCTACAAAGCCAGCAAGACATTCTGGATAGATTATTTCTACTGCTGTCTGTTCCAGTTCTTCAGCTTGCAGTTCTCCATACTTGCTGATCAGTAACGTTAGACTTAGAATAACAAAACACTGGATGCAATCCCAATCAAATTTTTGCTCTTGCACTCTTCCTTTGGGGGGAGGGTTAGAATTAAAAGGTACACAGGTACAGAAATACCATTGCACATGCCCAGAATGGAAGAAAGTAAGTTGAAAGTGGGGAGTAGTGGTTGAAGGCAGAAAATACAGCTTAGAAACATTCCATCAAAGAAAAAGTGGACAATCTATGAAAGCTCTAAGACTTTGTGGGAGGCGGGACAGTGGACAGTGTGTGGATGGTCGTGTGCCACTCAAGCACACATTAAAAATACATTCTGAACATTCAGTTTGTGACACAAAGCCTTCATATGTCTCCCTGTTGCACATCTGTTATAATTGGTCAATAACTCTTCCCCATTAAAATCTAGGACTGAGATCCTACATTTACTTATAGGATTGCATTGTAAGAAGCCTAAATTTATTACAAATCATTAATCTGCAAAGCATCAGAACGAAACACCCCTCTTCACCTTCCACCGTTCTCACGAATGCTTCAGCAAACCAAAAGGAACCAGCAGAGCATTGTCTCTTACATATTTTGCATCAGCCCATCCACTCTTTGGAGACCACATCTTCCCTTCTCCTATGAGTCCCAGAGCAAGATGGGAAAGAGGGGCTAAGTCTCCACTGGCTCCAACAGTCCCTTGCTCAGGAATGTAGGGCAGGCAGGATGCTATAAGAACAAGAGGGTGAGGGAGAAGCAGACCTTGGTTACAGAAATACACATACCATAATTCACCCTGCCCTTGAAATTTAGCAGTGAGCTTTACTCCTAGTGACCAGAAGGAGTGCCTTATGCAAACCAAACTTGCCCATTGCCTTTCATAGCTACAACATTCTATTGACCCACCAATATCCCAAATGGCACTGCCCTTTTCAAGGAGACAGTCCACAGCACATTGCATAGGCCTTGCCTCTCTTGGAAAAGTATATTCTGAAATCAATCTTTCTTTAGAAGCTGCAGGTGCAGGTTAAACTGCAAGGCACAGGATGTCTTTGCACAGTTCTAGGTACAAATGGGAAAGTTGCTGCATTTTTTTTGGCACAAAGAGACAAAAATTGGTTTTTGATGGGAGCCTCATCCCCTTTCAAAATTATGCCTATTGCACTGAAAGCTAAACCCTGCAAAAATGTGGCATAGCACAGATTACATTACCGTTAAATGCTTCAATGACTTGGTGAAGAGTTTCCAGTGATATTCCACTGTATCCTTTTGCTAAGACATTGATCCTTAGAGCTAAGAGCATACGAGATCTCTCTGGAATCAAAGGCTTCCCAACACCTGCAAGGATAAACAACCACCTCAGTATAGCCTAGACTAAATTGTAGGAAAGCATCTGGAGGATCTGCTCTTCCTTACCTGCAGAATGTGACCGAACCAAATTCACTTGAAGTTCCCTCAGAGGGAGAGAGAAAGAAAAAAGAACACAATACAATTAGTTCCAACTGCAGGCAAAGTTTTAAATTTCTTGCAAAAACAGAACAAATAAAATTGTAGACAGAACGTTTAACCAATGGAAAGTAACCTCACTAAATAAAACATGTTAGAATCTGTTTGGCTGCATTTTCTATAGGTTTCTTTTGTAAATTTAAAAAAGAGACATACCATAGCTTGCTGTTTGGAATAACAGTTCGTGCAAACTTCCCAAAACCTGTAGTAATTCCATAGACAACTGAAAGAAGAATGATAAAACAAATGCTTTACTTGCATTTTTTAAATGAAAAAATTGCAATTGAATATATGTAATCACTTTTACATATATTGCAGTACTCCCAACTGCTCACACCCAATTTATAAAATAAAGTAATTAATGGTTACCTCTCTGTTCCTTTAGAATACTTTCAATAACATCTCTTGATTCTCTGACTTTAGTTTCAGCTTCAGGGGTTAACTGGAAATAAAATTGCCTTTATATATATTTTTATTTCGAGCTAAAATGCAAATAAAGTATCTACAGGGGTGCTGTCACTGTAGGACATTTGGGCAGAGGTCTAGGGCCCCACTCAGGAAAACATGCAGAAGGGCCCCCAGATACAACAGGGCTGGCTAAAACAGGAAGTGGGTCAAAGGTCCAGGGTCTAAAATCATCTAAATTCCACCCCTGGGTATTTTAGAGTTATAATCTTTCCAGTACTCACCTTAATCTTATACAGCCCCTTTCCTAAATTGACTAAATCCTGTGTTGTCAAATGGTTCCCATCTAAATAAATATACTGTATAAAAGAACAGCATTAGAATAAGAGAATACGACATGGATAAACGTAAATAACCAGTTGTGCTATGTGGACACAGTATTTATGTCTCTGTACAGTCAGTGTTGCTACAGTGGGAATATCACATTTTCATATAAGTGTTTAAAAGAACTATTGCAGTTAATTTTTTTCAGCACTTCAAAAATCTGTGACTATGTTGTATGTTGCATTACAGAATTGATTTTTTTTTTAAAGTTCTATTTCGTTGCTATTTATTGTGCAGCACAAGCCTGTTAATGTTTTCTCAGAAGCAAATCCCATTGTGTTAAATAGGAGTACAGGCACATAGCATTTAGCATAGTATATGTAGCAGACTTAGAACTTAACACATAGGGAGGAGAATTAAGGACAGGGAAAGACATAATTCAAACACCAGTTCTTCATAAGTTACTCTTGCTCCATACCTGTTCTGGTTCTCGATATTTACTATATCTGAAGCACAGCATAGGAAAATATATAATGTAATACAAGATCATTTAGATTTCAGTCCACATTTGTGGGTATAGGAGAGACAACATGCGAAAACTAAGTTCCCTCGACTTATGAGGCCTCAGAAAAACAATAGACCACCACCACATTTTTAACAAGGATACAAATGAACACCCTCAGGCTGTGATGGAATGAAGTCTGGGGACATTACATCTCCTTGTATCACTGAAAGGAAAGAGAGAAAACCATCAATGACATTTCGTTTATTCTGTGGCCAGCGTAGTTATGCTTTCACAGGCTATCCCTGTAATCAGAAGTGTATTTTGCTAAGCATTTGGAATCGCTCCTAAACGCCTTTATTCCATTTTCTCACATGAGAAGCTGTGGCTCAGTGGTACTCTGGGAAACCATCTGCTCTACATGCCAAAAGGTCTCAGATTTAATCCCTGGCATCTCAAAGTAGGACTGGGAACTGCTTGACACTCCAAAGAGTAGCTGCTGGTCGGTGTAGACAATCCTGGCAAGATGAGCCAAGTGTCCGACTTGGTGTGAGGCAGCTTCCCGAGTCTCTTTGCACTTCTGATTTCCAACCAGCAACTCCAGTATGTAAGCAACATATCAATGGGGCCTGGATGTGATCAATCTACTATATGATCCATATCACTGGGGGTGTCTGATTATTTACAGCAGAAGCCAAAAGACCCACAAGCTACTGCTTCAAAGACCCTATCAACTAATTTACGTATGGCAGTGAGTTGGAAACAAGGAGGAATAACACAGCACAAAATGGAAGCAATTGCTTCTTTTCTTCCTCTATTTGCTGTAGTCAAAGTCTGGGATGTTACAGTTAATGAGATGCAGAAGACATCCCAGTTTAAGTCCAAAGTATATCTGGATACATGTGGAGTTTTCTTTCAGCCTACCAACATGGAAAATGGAAACAGCACTCTAAGCAACCCTTGTGAAAATAACTGGCACGCTTAAAATGCATGCTAGTCCCCCCCCCCCAAGACATTGATGGTATTTGGAGAGACTTCCCATCACAATATCAAAACATTTTCATTGTTTCCTGCCAAGTGTTTCCCTTTATGAACTTCTCCTTAATATGTGCAAACATTGCAACTTGTCTTCCGCTTACTTACCAACTTCCACAAATTCATTGTCCTCGAGGGCATCTTCCAAAGTATCGTCCTGATCCAGCAATCCAAGGCCTTTGCAACGGCGGACGTAGAATTGTACTTCCTCCACAGAACCAAAGCCTCCATTGTCAGGTTTGTTTTTCATGTAACGCCTGACGGCTTCTTTCCCCAGCCACCTCACTGTGCTCGCGCCACTTCGGCAAGGCACGGCAAGCCATTCCCCTCGGACATGCACCGTGTACCTTGGCATGCTTGTCCTCCGCCTGGGCTTGTCCCTCCACTGCGGAGGGTCGGTGTGAGCACCGCATAGGTGTGCAATCTGCAGCACATGCCACCTGACTGAATTCCACTGTCCCAATCAGAAAAGGCCAAAAAGCTACACACCCACCCGAAAGTTCCCTCACTCTGCAAACAAGCATGTGTATTTAAGCCAAGTATCAAATCACACACACACACACAGGTGACACATACACACCCCTATCACAACAAAGCAATGAGGAAACGGGAAAAGACGAATCCAAAGCTATGTACACATTGGCATTTATTCCGGACTCAGTGCACTCCCACATCCATGCTCCAACCTTGCCCTACTAAGTTCATTATAGAACTTCATCTCCTGATAAGTTCAGCAAACAAGCTGTTTTCAGTTTTAGGAAGATGCTTCAGATGTTTTTCATTGGGGGAATGATTGAACCTGACCCATGGACCCTTCCAAAAAATTGTTATTTAAGTAGCAGTTGACATTTTATGCTGCTTCCTGATAGCCAATATGGCTCTACTGACTTTATCCATTACAGTAGTACCTTGGTTTACAACCATAATCAGTTCCGGAGGTCAGTTTGTAAACCCAAACAGGTTGTAACCTGTTTCGCCAATGGGGCCTCCAAAAAAAATTTGTTCTTAACCCAAAAAAAAAGGGGGGGGGTTGTAATCCAAAGAAAGGTTGCAAACCGAGACATGTACTTCTGGGTTTGACGTGTTTGTAATCCAAAACGTATGCAAACCAAGACGTATGCAAACCAAGGTACCACTGCACTTTGTTTTTATTCATAGATTGCAAGTCAGGGATGTGGATTCTTTTTAGCTTAAGAGTTATTCCCCTCCACCCCGCCTTGGAGGAAGTCTTCAGGGGGTCACACTGACAATAGCGGGCAAATATATTTGTTGCCCTTGCAGAGCAGGCTGCATTTAAGCCTCTCTCTCTCTCTCTCTCTCTCTCTCTCTCTCTCTCTCTCTCTCACACACACACACACACACACACACACACACACCCTCTCAATCCACCTGAGCAAGAGGAATTATCATAGTTCAAGGACACACTCCAGCTAGGCAAAAGCAATGGTGAAAGGTTTACCATGTTTGTTATAAGCCATGCTGGAGGTTCTGCAGAACCATCTGGCAAGGCGAAAAATCTCAAAAATCAAGACAAAAAATGTCAGCACTGGAGCTGGGTTCTGCATGTGCACCAGAAATAAGTCCGTGAGCACGAGAATGTCATTATTCACCATCAAAGTCAGAGCTGGTGGGTGTCTTCTTACATGCTATGTACATTACTAGTTTGAAAGTGGAAGAGACTGCATGCCAGCTCTCCACTTTTCATCACAAAGGGACAAATGTAATAGCCTCAAGGACTCCAGTCTTCTCTCTGCTGTTCCATCCCCAACTACTTATGTCCCCAGTAGTAGATGCTACCTTTGGAGACATCTCATGATTCTCAGCCTTTGGCACCACTTATAGCAGCCAGCATGTTTAGCAAACCATACATGCCACTGCACACTGTTATCAAGAAGATGGGACAAGCTGCAGAGATGTGATCTACAATTTATTACTTCTATGAGCTACTGCAATCCCAGCTACAAAATCAGCACTAGTCAACCATGGCAATTTAACAACCTTTAGACTTCAGCAACCTGAACAAGAGTCGTTTGTAGTTGGGCTAACTGTATTAATCATTAATTCAGATGTGTCTTTTGGGCACTGTATTATGTAAGTATACGTTGTTGCTCTCACTGAACTGCTCTTAACTTAGGCAATTTCTGACTAAGTTGTTTTTATATCCGATTAAGTTGCTTTCGTGCCTGTTGGTACTTTTATTATTCTGCAATGCATTGGGGGGGGGGATAGTGTTTATGCTGCCATAAAGAATACCACCGACTTACCCTACAGAACTGTTAACGATTACAACTAGGTGATACATGTAAAGGACCTTGAACATTTATGTAGCACTTTCAGGTCTTAAATGTTATTGCTATTTCATACTTGCTTGTTGTTAGCCACTCAGGGTTCTGTAGACAAGGTAATTTAAGTAACAAATATGGCAGAATTCAGATAATATGAATTTCCAAAACAGTGGGAAAGTGATGTTGCCATTATTTTAAAAAATAAAACTTCAATTAAGAACGTTCAGGGTGGCTTACATACAATAAAACAGATTTAAGTACCTCCATGGAAAGAACATGACAAGTGAGATCAAATGGAGTTCAGAAACTTAACTGCTTTATCATCCAGTGTTAAGGTCTCAGAGGGGTGGAGAATGGGCTGCCTTGAGACTAGATCAGGCCTGCAGAACCTTCTGATTCAGGCCATGGCCCCTTTCACAACAGAGCATGGTGGAAAGCAACTGTGTTGCATACTCAGGCCTTTAGCACCTGCATGTGTCTGCCTGGTTCGTCTCTTTATCCTTATGGCAACTGGATTGCTGCAGACTAGCAGCTTGCTGGATGGTGAGTGCTTGGTGGGGGATGGAGACAAAAGGGAATGGAATGGAATGGAAGGGTATGCATGAGAGTATATATATGGAGGGGGAAGAGAGCATGTGCATGTTTGTGTTTCACACCCAACACCAATTCTGGTCCCAACCACCACTGGGAATGCAAGGGCTAGACAGTAGCTTTTTGCATGTCATACTCTGTATATTGGGACGCGGGTGGTGCTGTGGGTTAAACCACAGAGCCTAGGACTTGCCGATCAGAAGGTCGGCGGTTCGAATCCCCATCACGGGATGAGCTCCCATTGCTCGGTCCCTGCTCCTGCCAACCTAGCAGTTCGAAAGCACGTCAAAGTGCAAGTAGGTACCGCTCCGGCGGGAAGGTAAACGGCGTTTCCGTGTGCTGCTCTGGTTCGCCAGAAGCGGCTTAGTCATGCTGGCCACATGACCCAGAAGCTGTACACCGGCTCCCTCGGCCAATAAAGCGAGATGAGCGCTGCAACCCCAGAGTCGGCTACGACTGGACCTAATGGTCAGGGGTCCCTTTACCTTTACTCTGTATACTGGAGGCAATTAAATATACAGAAAGACAATCCGATTTATCATAAAAGATTTATTGCTTCAAATAAAGCAGTACATGTAGCAAAACTATGAATGCTACTTGTGGTGAAGTGCCCAATGCAGTGTCAAAATATATCTTATTTTCCCCCGGTTTTGCAGAATTTTAAATGAGGCACAAGATTGAGATGCCAGCATGAATAATCAGGGGTGGGGGCAGGGGGGCGCTTATTGATTCAGCATCAGAACAGAAAGCTAGTTCAGTAATCAAACATGCAAGTTACAATGATTCTTTTTCACGGAGGGAGTGGGGAGAAGAAAGTCGTTTTCTTATCGGAGTTTATCCTTAGGTCTGCAAAGGTTGGGCTGTTTGTCCGTCGAGACCCAGGTCTTTGGTTACCAACATCGCAGTCACTGGATGCATGGAAGCCTTGTGCTGGTGGAAAGCGCTGACAGCTTGAGCACGGGATTTGTCAAATTTATAGAGGTCCCTGAAATAGACGCCACAAAATAAATTTTAAACGACTTTTTAAAAAATCAAGACAAGTACCATTTATCTTTGAAGAACCGCTTTGTACATATTTAACATGTAAGATACAGAGAACTTCCTATATTGAACCACTGCCTGCCTGCTTAGGTAATTGTCTTACTTAAACAAAGGACGAGTGAATTTCATTCTGCCTTGTTCTGTAGCCATCTTCAGGGCCAAAGGAATGGCATCTTCCCAGTTGGCTTGAATGCAGAGGCGCAGCCATCTGAAAAGCAGAATTAGCCTTTAGTCAGCTAAATCAAGATCAAGAAAATCAAGGTTAACAACAAGCTAGGACCGGGGATACTTTGGGACAGTCACTGTCACAGTCTAATCTACCTCACAGGGATTCTGTGAAGACCAAACCATTTATACCACCCTTTGCTCTTTGGAGGAAATGTGAGATGTAAGTAATAATCTTTAAATTTATATATATTTAAAATGCTTGCATAGTTTATTCTGCATCTAAGATTGCTTATTCAATGAATTTGGATCTCACTGGCAAGATGTTAGGGCCCCACAAACCACATGCTTGCATGTATCTCTAAATAAACAGGTAAGTTTAGAACTTTGCAACCAGCTGTTCCTGGCTGGACAGTATTCAAAACTACTTTCAGGGATCTATACCAGGGACAAACAGGATTATTTGTTTTCACAGTTGTTTTACAACCTCAGGTATGAATGGGCACACACATCACTGCTCAGTTCTATGTACTTGTGCTTTCATATATATTTTACATATAACAGGCAATTCGACTGCAGATTTAATAAAAGTTACTACTATATGGTATCGATCCATTACATTCGTAAAATTTCAGAATATTCCTACACTTTACAAACCTGAATCTAATTTCAGAGTTGTTCACAGCATTGAAGTCATAAACTTCCTGCATTCGCCTTACATGGCTCACTGGAAGGGGATTCTAAAAATATAAAACAAGGGGTACAAAGAAAAGCAACATCAAGTCATCAACTCTTCACTTCTAAATAATTGTGCCAGCTCTAGAGTTCACCCCTGAAGCAAGTAAGCCATTGTGCCCGCACAATAGGACCACATGTTTCTGAAATGACACAGACCAAAGTTGTAAGCAACAAAATGGCGCTCATTCTGCAGTCTGCTGCCAAAGTGCATGATTACTGGTCAGAACAGTAGGACAAGATACCAACATCCCACAGTGGTTCTACAATTCTATATAAGCACAGCAATAAGTTGGCAGTACAGTGGTACCTCGGAAGTCAAATGGAATCCGTTCTGGAAGTCCTTTCAACTTCCAGAACGTTCAGAAACCAAGGCATGGCTTCCAATTGGCTGCAGGAAGCTCCTGCAGCCAAGCGGAAGCCGCGTCAGACGTTTGGGTTCCAAAGAACATTTGCAAACCAGAACACTCACTTCCAGATTTGCAGCGTTCGGGAGCCAAAACATTTGACTCGCAAGGCGTTCGTGAACCAAGGTACGACTAAGACTTAGTCTCTTATCTACTAAGATGACAAGATCTAACAGTCATTGGAAGAGAGAAATGAACATGCTATGACTAATAACTGGACGCCTTCATCTGCCCCAGCTGCAACAAAACACGCCTCTCCTGCATCTATCTCTATAGGCACAACAGGAACTGAAACCTTCCAACAGCACTCCTCCATTGTCTCTCGAGACAAACGGATGCCAACCTCCCCTAAATTTCACTCTACAAACTTGGAAACGCAACAAGATGGTGCCACAAACGTTTGTCCTGAAAGGTAAAAAAAACCCTTTTGCCTATATTTACCTCCAGCAGCAGTAGTGCAAGAAACTCAATAAGCTGGTGTGAAGACAACTCTTTTATATCAGCTGAGCTGAAGGAGCCAAGATCGTTTTCCATGGCCTATAAGACAAGCAGAATTAGGAGGAAATTGGAGAAGCAGGCCTTTAAGAAATTACAGGGGGATATTGTCTTTGATTCTAAACACCAGCAGTTAAGATTTGAATTTAATTTGTTTAGAAAACCTCATTTGGATACATAAAAGTCAAAAGAATCTCAGGGGCTCTGGATTCTTTTCTCTTGGGAGGAATGCTATCTGCATGGAATCCTTATGAATTACAGTGACCTTTCAGCTA